AACAAAGAGTGAAAAATTTAAGGGGGTCTGAATACTTTCCGTACCCACTGTATATAGATATAGATATATATATGAATGATATAGATATAGACATAGATATAGATAAAGATATATTTACAGTGTCCCCAAAAATATATATTTACAGTGTCTCCAAAAAGTATGTAGACATTTTTGGACATAAAAATGCATGCATTCAATTGCATTAGAAACAAAATATCAGTAAATATTCTGCAAACAAATAATGCCAGAGCTTTTCACAGAACTATATGTGGGTCTATGAAGTCAGTTCTCTAGAAGTTCACACAGATGTGACCACAGGAGTAGTTCATCACATTTACTATGAACAACATGATCCAGTGTATTTTGTTTTTGGTGTTCAGTCACACTTTATTTTAAGGTCCAATTCTCGCTATCAACAAACCATTAGCTATGACTTTTGCCTTAATAAACTCCTAATTTGCTGCTTATTAATAGCTAGTAAGGTCGTTGTTAAATTCAGGTTTTGGGTAGGATTAGGGATGTAGAATATGGTCATGCAGAATATGTGCTTTATAAGTACTAATAAAATGCCAATACGTTAACAATAGGCATGCTAATAAGCAGCTAGTTAATAGTGAGAATTGGTCCCTATACTAAAGTGTTACCTACTGTATGTATCTTCATTAGTACATTTATTAATTTATGAAACAATTTAAAACATAAACTTGTTTTTTGTGAAAAACCTTTCATTAAAATAAATAAATGCTATTTGGTTTGATATTTTGTTAGCTGACATGTATGCATTTTTAAGTTTCAGTATCCAAATAGATTTTGTGGCTACTGTATGTGATTTAGAGCAAACACTCTACCCACAGCTACTGTGCCAGTGCCAACTGTTCCATCAACTGTTTTTGGTGTTTATCTGTGCCTGCTGGGGCAAATCTCTTTACAAAACACTGCTTACAGAAACCTAATTAGTGAGGACTCTTCTGAGTAAACAAAACAAATCATAGTTTGGCACAAGCGATCAAAGACAGGTTAAATGCATACAACACGGGCTTGTGATCTCCACACTGGAACTGAGTGCTCTTCTGTGGAGGACAATGAACAATGCCCTCCCTCCTCCTAAACTATGGAAATATATTGCATAAGGGGAGGGAAGTCCCAAGTGTAGAACTAAGAGTCCGAGTAGGAATGAGGGCCAGGCTTCATTGCCATGAAAAAGAGACTGTTTCTTGCCATTGGTGCTTACATTTGTACCATGCATAAACAGAACAAATAGATCCCTCATGTGTGTGCTAAAGGGACCTTAATAAAAGGAAGCAACTGTTTCTGTGCTTGTATGATGCTGTATACGTGTGGTGGACTTCAGAAATTCAGAAGATAAAGCTTCTGTGTTTGCCTTTTCCCCCCAATGTATTTTATGTCATATTTTTATTCATTTAAAAGAAACTTGCTACACTATTATACCTTTTACACTATCATCATTATCAAGTTATCAACACTATACTTTTACACTATCGCCAATAGTTTTGTATGATTACAACCAAGTCATAACAGTCTCAAGTTTTTTTTTTTTAATTGCAAAAGCATTTTTACATTGTTTAAAAATGATAATAAATAACTACAGTAACTTAACTTATTAGTATTTTTGTTATTGTTTTCTTTCTTACAACAACTGTTATATTATTATTAATAATGATTACACTCTTTTCAGACCATTGCTGCTAGAAATGGTTAATTTTGAAAATTTCACACTTTCTTACTTTTGCATATTTCATAATATGTATTTATTTATATGTATTTGTTTATTCATATTTATTGAATGTTTCCACTGTTTTACTTTTTTGTATTATTTTGTTGTTGTTTTTTGTACACTGTAAAATAAATAAATACATACATACAGACAATACCCTCATATTAGCAGGGGAAGTCGTGGCCTAATGGTTAGAGAGTCGGACTTGTAACCCAAGGTTGCAGGTTCGAGTCTCGAACCGGCAGGGATTGTAGGTGGGGGGAGTGAATGTACAGCGCTCTCTTCCACCTTCAATACCACGACTGAGGTGCCCTTGAGCAAGGCACCGAAACCCCAACTGCTCCCCGGGCGCCGCAGCATAAATGGCTCTGGGTGTGTGTTCACGGTGTGTGTTCACTGCTGTGTGTGTGCACTTTGGATGGGATAAATGCAGAGCACTAATTCCGAGTATGGGTCACCATACTTGGCCACATGTCACGTCACTTTCATTTAATACAGTGCATTGTGCCCTATTTTTACAGGTTTTTTTAACAGTGTATATTTTCTGCATAAAAATGAAAAT